TTTGGACAATAAACGGAGAATCTGGCCTTTTCCATGATGACGGTGTAAGCTGTGTCAGTTCTTTTCCTCGCGACTCCGTTCCAGCCGGTTTAAGGAATTAGGGAATTTATTTTGGACCCTCACGGGCCCTGACACAATGCAGTACTACACAGCAGAAAAAAATAATGACATCTTGAATTTTGTAGGCAAACAGATGGATCTAGAAAACATCATATTGAGTGAGGAAACCCAGACCCAGAAAGAGAATTATCACATGTAATCACTCATAAGTGTTTTTTAAACATAAATCAATGAAAACCAGCCCACAAATCACAATCCCAGAGAACCTAGATAACAGTGAGGACCCTAAGAGAGACATACATAGATCTAATCTACATGGGAAAGAAAAAAAGACAAGATCTCCTGAGTAAATTGGGAGCATAGGGGACCTTGGGAGAGGGTTGAAGGGGAGGGGAGAGATAAGGAGAGGAGGAAAGAAAAAAATGTAGAGCTCAATAAAAATCAGTTTAAAAAAGAAATAAAAAGAAATTAGACATCAAATATTCAAATAATCCAATTTAAAAATGGGGTACAGAACTGAGCAGAAAGTTCTCAACAGAAGAATCTAAATGGTTGAGAGACACTTATTGAAATTTCAGCAACTGTAGTCATCAGGGAAATGCAAATCAAAATGACTTTGAGATACCATCTTACACCAGTCATAATGGCTAAGATAAAAAACACCAATGATAGCTTATGCTGCAGAGAATGTGGAGTAAGGTAAACACTCCTCCATTGTTGGTGAGAATGCAAACTTATACAACCACTCTTGGAAATCAGTATGGCAGTTTCTCAGAAAATTAGAATTCAACCTACCTTAGGACCCAGAAATACTACTCTTGGACATATAACCAAAATATGCTCAATCATACTACAAGGACATCTGTTCATCTATGTTCATAGCAGCATTATTTGTTGCAGCCAGAAACTAGAAACACCCAAGATGTCCCTCAACTGAAGAATAAGTAAGAAAAATGTGGAACTTTTACACCTTAGAGTACTACTCAGTGGTAAACAAAACAAAACAATTACATCTAGAAATTTGCATGCAAATGGATGGAATTAGAACAAAACCATCATGAGTGAGGTAGCCCAGACCCAGGAAGATAAACATGCTATGTACTCATTCATAAGTTGATACTATCTGTAAAGCAAAGGATATTGAGCCTACAGTTAATGATCCTAGGGAAGCTAAGTAACAAGTGAACCCTAAGAAAAACGTACATAGATCCACCTGGAAAGGGCAAATAGACAAGATCTCCTGACAAAATGGGAACATGGGTGTGGGTGTAGATGGGAGAGTAAAAGGAAAGGAGGCCAGAAGAAGGTGGGAAGAAAACCCAAGGGAAAGGGATAGTCAAGATGTAGGAAGTACAGACATGAGATCAAGAAAAGAGATATTTTGATTAAGATAGTCATTATGGGACTAGTAAGAAATCTGGTACTAGAGAAATTCCCAGGAATCTACAAAGATGACCCCAGTTAAGAGGAGAGGGTGCCCGAACTGGCCTTGCCCTGTAGTCAGGATTGACAAATTTCTTAAATGTCACATAGAACCTTCATCCAGCAACTGATGGAAACAGAAGGCAGAGACCCAAAGCAGAGCACTGGGCTGAGCCCCCAAAGTCTAGTTGAAGAGTGGGAGGAGTGAGAATATGAGTAAAGGGGTCAAGACCTTGATGGGAATACCTATTGAAACAGCTTACCTGAGCGAATGGAAGCTTACCACAACTCAGTCAGACAAGGAAGAAGCCAGCATAGGTCCATTCTAGTCCCTCTAAATATGGGTGATAGTTGTGTGGTTGGGGCAGACTGCAGGGCCACTGGCAGTGGCACCAGAACTTATCCCTACTGCTTGTACTGGGTTTTAGGGAACTTATTCTCTTTGGATTGATACCTTGCTCAGCCTAGATATAGTAGGGAGGGCATTGAATCTTCCTTTAGCATTGTGCCTTACCCTCTCTGAAGAATGGATGTTGAGGTGTGGGGGATGAAGGGGATGGAAGGAGGGTAGGGAGAAGGAACTGGGATTGGTATGTAAAATAAAAAGATATTTTTTCTTTTTAAAAAATGAGAACAAAGTGATACAAAAATAAAAAGAGTTGCCTTGGTCAAAATGTCTCTTCATAGCAATACAAGGCCTAAGACAGTGAATGTTTATATGACTACTTGTCTGTGTGCACTCTATGCATGTAGAAACCTGCAGAGACTTGAAACAGGGCATTGGATCCTCAAGAATTGTAGATAAAGGTGATTGTGAGCCATCTGATGTGGGTGCTGGGAATGAATCCACACCCTCTGAAAGAGCACCAGGCTCTCTTAATGGTGGCACCAGTCTCTCAGTCCCCACTGGATGGATGGGATGGTAGTTTTGATGCGTGTTTAGTATGTACACTGACTGAGCGTGGAACTTCAGTATGTGCTAATATGAAACAAGAGGCATCATTATAAACCACACACAGAAGTTGTTCATTATGGTAGTTAGAAAGAAAATGGCGATTCAATTTTACAAGGTGTGTTCTTGTTGGAGGTACGGTCTTGCTGGAGGAATTGTTTCATTGTGGAGGCAGGCTTTGAAGTCACATATATGCTCAAGCCACACACAGTGAGATAATCTACTTCTAGTTCCCTGCTTATCAACATGTAACAGCTACCTCTCCAGCACAGTGTCTACCTGCAAACTGCCCTATCCCACCGTGATGATAATGGTCTGAACCTCTAAACTGAAAACGAGCCCCCACAATCAAATGTTTTCTTGTCATGATGTCTCTTTACACCAATAGGAGCCTGAACTAAGACACTCACCCTGCCATCCTTTATCCCTTGACTTTAACCAAGGTCCACCCATTTGTCTTATGTGCAGTGGCTTCCTACTTCTCTCCCTGCCTTGACTGATTTTCCCCTCAATTTTACTTTTTCACTGTTAGTCAAAGCCTCTCCCTATCCCATGGGGTTGTCCCCAGGCTCTGAAGGCCACTGTCCCTGCAAGCAGGCTGGTGTTCCTTGTTTCTCTGACCCTATCTTGTCTCTGTCTCTGTACATACTTGGAATTCTGAAGCTCCACACAAAGGCACTTCTATTTCCATCATCTGTATCGACGTTCTTCAGGGCTCACTTCTTTATAACCATAAACACTTAGAAACAACTTATATGGGCCAAGAACAGGAAAAACTCAATTCACTAAGATAGTCTTTCTAGGCAATATCAGAAGGCAATTCAGAAGGGTCAGAATGGTGTTGTCCTAGGCTTTCAGGACCAGAGAAGAGTCTTGATTCATTAAGAAAATAAACGTGAATATAAGATAACAGAAATTATGTGGCTCAGGAATCCCATAGAAAATTATATACATAAAAGATAAAAGGGGGTGTCATATTCCTTCTTTCATGCTGTTGATCAAACCTAGGGTCTTGGGCTTATTAGGTGAGGTGTTTTAAATGATAGGTCACCTAGACATGCAAATTTGAATGCTTGATCCTTAACTCTCTTTGAAGAGACTTAGGAGGTTTGACTTCGTGGGAGGAAATATATCACTGGAGATAGGATTTAAGATTTCAAGGCCCTGAGCCACACCCAGTACATTCTTTGTGCTTCCTGCTTGTGGTTCAAGACTTGAGCTCTCAGCTGCTGCTCCAGTCACATCCTTTCCCTCTGCCACGATGGACCCTGATCCCTCTGGACAGAAGCCCAGATAAACTCTTTTATAAGTTGCCTTGGCCATGGTGCTTTACCACAGCAACAGAAAATTATCCCACAGAGTAGGCAATCTCTCTACCAAATGAGTAACATCCTAGTCAATGACATTTTGAGACAATATCACACTATATAGCCCAGGCTAGACTGAGACTTCTGACCTTCTTGTTTTAGCCTTCTGAGTTTGGGATGACATGTACACACTCAAAATTTAATGCTGCTCTCTAAGAAATGGAATTCTGTAGGATACTAATTTTATGTTATTTTGATAATTGATAAATCCTCAGTCTTCTACAACAAATATGTTTTTATTATTCCATCCTACTAATACAAAATGAGAGTCATTGGGACAACTTCCTACATGTATATAACACAGTTTAATTACATTTGTTTTCTTTGACCAGTTTTCCCTCCTCATCCTCTTCCTGTTATCTAACCTTTGCTCCACTACTCGTAAGCTACTTATTTTTCACATGAGCTCTTGCTGTGTTATTCAGATTTGGTGTCAAAGTCCTCCACACTAGATAACTGTTGTTTCTGATTATTTCAACAGTCACACCCTGTGTAATTAGAGTAGTTGGTTTTCTTCTCTTCCAATTTTGAAATCCTTGGGAGAACAACTGTATTTCTCCTCTTGCAATTGATTGGCAGGGCCTGGTATTAAGTCAGTGCTTATCGAAACATCTAAAGAGGAGAGAGATACATACTGAAACTGGTTTACCACTTCTGCACAATGAAAGGAGATCCTGGAATACAAGGTCTACATTGCTGCTGGGATCGGTGGACATTAGGAACCCTCAAGCTGAGAGTCAGGCTCATGCTGCTTTCATTGATACATATAAGAAATGCATCTGATCACGAAAAATGTAGGGACTCTAATGCATAAGCCTTCTGGGGTGGGAAGACCTCAGGTCCAATGTACTTGTCATGGGGAGAGAAGATGGTGCCTGCAGGAGTTGGATGAGGTTTCTCTCAGAGAGAAAGCATGATGAGCGAGAGTACCAGTACCTGTGGGTCATTTGAACCTTGTGAAGGGTGAAGAGGATTTGAATCAGAGAAGGTTGGTGGTCCTTACCAAGCTCATACCTCAATTGCATAGTTAGGCACACAGAGGCAAACAGAGAAATGTGGTCAGATTCAGCAGTTAGATCTCGCTGGTGACCTGGATCCTGATGACCTGAAACCAACCAAGAGTGCTGCTGGTGCTCAGAACATGTGTGCTCATGCAATCCACAGGGAAGCTAGAGAAAGCGATGTGTCTAGATACTCACAGAACCATACTTGGTACTGCTAGCATGTGTCCCTGTTGTCCACAAGCGTTCAGCTGAAGCCTTTTCACATGGTGGCAGAACTTAATGCAGAAAGTGACCACCATAAGTTCCACGTCTGTCTGGACCACCAGGTGGTTAATGCTTTTCTGGAACACTGGGAGTAGCATATCCACTGAGGCAGGCAGCATTGTTCCCTGAAAAATGTGCATTCCATCTGTCAGGAGGTCTCCATCCCGAGTCTCATACAGACAATGGAGTAAACCCAGAGTATCTGGTTGATGGTGTTGGGTTTCCTCTAGAATGTACCGATGTATGTACAACCTTGGCTCCTGAAGCAAACTGCAGGCAAAGATCATCTCTATTTCTCTCATTCCTCTTTTACTTAAAAGACCATATAGGAAGTGCACAGTGGGTGCCTCAAACAGGTCATGTCTTCCATAGACTTTCTTTAGTGCTCTTATAATTCTGTAGGCATTCTTATGATCATATATTATCACATTATTCTTCAAGACGTAGGACATTGCTGTAAAGAACTCCTGGAGATACAAGTGGGCAAAGCTGTAACTCAGAGATACAGGATGCTTTTGAAGGATGCCAATCTTCAGGAAAGTGGCAATGTCATTATCATCCAATCCTTGGATCCAAAAATCTCTCTCACTGAACAGGGTCCTTCTTTGGCAGATTCCCTCAGCAGCCAGTGAGCAGAGTGCTCTGAGCTGGTTCCCCAGGGCATGACCTGAGAGAGCCTGGGAAAGGTATTTCAGGTGGAGCTCTGTGGTGGTCTGTGAGGTCAGTGAGAGGTCTTCTCCCCGATCCATCTGCTGCTTCAGGCAGGTGCAGACCAGCCAGGACACCCAGGGTACCTCACACAGTGTTGAGAGCACCGGGTTTGATTTAACCAAGTTAAAAGCTGCAATTGCTTCTCTTTTCTCTCTGAAATATTTGTAGATGTATTCCTTCCGTCCAGACTCAGAGAAGCCCAGGACTTCCACCCAACGTGGCTGCCTCAAGGAAGGAACGAGCTTCTTCAGAACTTTGGTTCGAGCTGTGAGCAGCAAGGAAGCCTGCGGCAGGACAGATTTCCCCAGCAAACTGCCCAGCAGTGTGTGCACAGGTTGTGTCTGGCTCCAGTGCAGGCAGAACTTGGGATTCTTATCTTCCAAGACCCATTTTGGCTCATCTATGCCATCCAGGATGAAGAGCAGCTTCTCATGGTGAGACAGGATCTCCCTGATGGGAGCTGCAGGCTCAGTCTGGTCTTTTTCTATGAGCTCAACCAGACTCAGCTGCTTGCACTGGGCCAGCTCTCTGCAGCTGAAGTAGAAGACATGCTGGAAGTGATCCCTGTAGAGCTGACCTTCCTCCCATGCTCTCCTTACCTCTCTGGCCAGTGTTGACTTTCCAGATCCAGCCACCCCCTCTAATACAACAAGTTGAGGCTCTTTCTGGGTATCCGGGCTTGGACAAAATAAGTTTTGGATCTCAATCAGATGCCCTCTTTTCTCTCTTTTATATTTATGCCATCTTTCCCATACCAAGGTCTCCCAGCCTCTTGGGCAAGGTTTTTGTACAAGTAGTAGCTGTGTGAAATTTTGCAGCAAATCATTTGTTTTCCAGGTCTGTGTGGGGTAAAGGTTTTCTCTTCTTTTTCTCTGATGTATTTCTGAAATGTTTCCTAAATAGAGGAGAGAAAGATGGATCATAAATGAATACATTAGGGTTGTTTATTCTTTAATTCATTCTTTCCTTCTTTTCTTTCTTCCAACCTTCAACAATTGTATGAAATTAGGCATCTCTCTAAGTTGTACAACATACTGGATATGGGTCCTGGTGCCAAGAATGTGAACTTTAGAGCAGAAGAATATAGTTCAAATCTTCCCTTGAGTAATAACAATAATAATGCTCTATGATGTTAATTCATACTTCAGATATTTATTGATATCTTACTCTGTGCCAGACCTGCTCTTGGGGCTGAGTATAAAGGGTGAGTTCACAGACACAACTCTGTTCTCCTTCTGTCTATCGGATGATCCAGTGGCTCTAATGAGCACAGCTTTCCCATCTGTAATTTGGGGACTGTAGTCTTTTCTGTAGGAGGCCATGGAGTACTAGGGAGATTACAGACAGTGGAGCCAATGTCTGTTTCTGATATTATCCCATTGGCCCCCACCATTTGAGTACTGACAACATCATTCTGTAAGTACAGAAATTTTGGGTTTGATGGGATGGTCTTAGGATGCCTTAGAGTCTATGTTTCAGGATGTTGACTTGGTCCCCTGTCTCTAGACCTGGCAACTCCAGGCATATTTTGTAATGCCTTTTAGATATTGGTAACAACAAGCCTTGCTTGTGACTACAGTTTGAATGTCTTTAGTTTCCACTGAAATTTATGTTGAAACTTGTGTTGAAATTCACTTGTGAGTGTTGTAGTAAAGGAAAAGCGTCTAATGTTATGTTTGGAGTCATGGCAGTATGCCCCTTAACAGTTGACCAATACTTTTCTTCTAAGAATAGGCAAGCTCTTGTAGGCAGGGTCTACTTTTCTGTCCTGCAGACACCTGATTGCCTGTATACTTTTTTCTTAAGCAGAGCACTCAGTCTCTACTCTTGGACTTCTAGACTCCAGAGTGTAGTTAGACATACAAGTTCTAAAGAAAGAAGTTCTTTAATTCATCACTCAGAAGACAGAGGCAGGAGAATTAGGAGCACAGGGCCACCATCTTTATATGGTGAGATTGGAAGCATCTAGGACTACAATCAGTCAGCCAATCAATTACACAAACAAATTAACAACAAGAATAACAAAAGTTACTCAGTCTCTTGTTTTCTCTTCTGGCAATGGAAACACATTTGCTTTTGGTGTAACCTGCTCCACCATTTGCACAACACACTTTGCAGGCTTGCCCCATCTTGTCCCACCCTCTTCCTCCAAACAGTGTTCTGGAGATTCTTCTCTCCGGTTTTGGACCATTCCATAAATCTCATATCAACATTTTCTTTGGAAGGAACTCAAGACAAGACAGACAGGAATATGCTCCATGGACCACAATCCAAGTTCATCTCTCAGTAACTACAGGATTTTCAAAGTACAAGGCATCTTCCTTTCCTTCCTTGGCCAAGGTTCTGAAGAAAATTTGGCAAGAGCACAGAGTGCAGCATCTGTTCACCCAATTAGCCCTTGAGAAACTGGCTTCTGGGGCCTAGTTGCCTCTGAAATCAGGATCTATAGATCTGCTCCCATTGTCTTCTGTAGAAAGTCTTCTACCATCTCCTGAGTGCAGCAGGCTGCCCACTCTGGTCTGTGGTCAAGGTCTTCCAGGCTCAGGTTATATTTGCCCCAGGTGCAAAGGGAAGGCTCAGTTCTTCCTAGGCCATGCTCTTTAAGACCTCCCAGCTGGGACATATCTGTTACTATGCACACATCTAAGTCCTCTTCAGTTTTGTCACATTTTAAAATCATCTGGGGCAGAAAGTTAAGGAGGTTGAAGAAAAAGCATGTGGACTAGAATTTTGGTCCCAAGAACCCCTGTACATGTTGCACTTGAACTGTGACCTCTGTTATTCCAGGTTCAGAAAGTTGAGTCAAGGGATCCACAGAAAAAGATGTCTAGCTAGATTTGCTTCATTGACAAGCTTGGGGCATGGAGGAGCGCCTCTGCCTCAATAAATATGTGAAAGCAACTGAGGAAGATTCCAGATATCAATTTAGGGTGGACACAAGTACATGAAGTATAACCTCTATATATGTTTGTCCCAACACATACAAAGAGGCACACAAGATGTAAGAGTAATTGATCAGAAGAATGCAGAGACTCCAAAACAACAAAGCCTGTTGCTGTTGCTCTTGTGAAGGTCATGGAAGAAATAGGTTCACTTCAGTGTTGCGGGAGGTCCTCCCACTCCTCCAGCCTATAGCTGCTGAGATACCAGCCCATTGGGGCGTGGTCTCTCTCCCTTTAAAAAAGTGGCCACTTCCCTCTCCTCTCTCTCTCCACTTCCTGCTCCACTGGCGACTAGACTCCCTTCCTGGTTGCGTAGAGGGCTGTTGCATGGGACAGTGATCTGTAAGTTTTTTCCCCTTTAAAATAAATACCACCCTATTAATCATAATTCCAAACTGGTGTGGCATCGTTTGTGACTTACGCCTTCATTTGGCGCCCAACGTTTGGTTTTAGAACCTCTCCTTCTCCCGCTCGGCTGCCGGCCGCGAGTTCAGCTTGGTGGGAGCCCTCCCTTCCTCAGCTGCTGCCTATGCCTTGCAGCCGCGGCCTTGGCCTCCCCACGTGGATTTAAACTCCACAGGCCCGCGTAGTCTCTGCCCGCGTGGTTTGCTCTTTTCAGAGTCGTTTTTTAATCTCCCTTGCAAACACAGCTCTTAAGTGGCACGAACCAGAGCATGCGGTTGCTGAAAGCTGCAACCCCTCAGGGTGACTCTGTCAAGTGGAGGCATAAGCGGCTTCCAGGTTGCTCTTCTCTACCCCTGGATTCTGGGTTTCTGGTTCCGTCTCTGGAATTGATTTAATTACATTTACTTTGTTGAGAAACTTGCATTTTCCAGTTTTTAACATCTACTAAGGCACTGAAACAGGACCCTGTTTTCATCGCGACTCGGCAACAGTGCCACCTGCTGAATAATAGGTAATATGGCAGTTTTCGTTTCTAATGCAAATTTTACTGCTTTGTTTTCACTAATACAATGGATTAGTAAATTTATATTTACTAATACAATGGATTACGCCATACAAGGTTTATATGATTATGGGGATACCTTGATTTGCTTGTTACTAGGGTTCAGTTTTCTTTTCCATATTCTATCATTAAGGAAGAATATGGCACTCCTAAGAACGATAGAATCTTTACGAACTAATAATGAACAACTAATTGACAGGATTAAAATTATTGAAAATCAGAGGTTATCTGAACAAGTGGATACTATGACAGACAAAATTGATTCCATATCCAAGGATATTAGAAAGTTACCTGAAAGGGTTCAGGCTGTTGAATTTGACGTTCAGACTTTATCACAAAGTTTTGATAAGGTAACAGACAGAATGTACCTCCAAGATGGGAATCTACATGATATACAAGAAAAGTTTAAGAAGGACATGTTATCTTTGAAGGAAAAATTTAAAGCTTTGGAATCACAGGTGCAGAATGGGGACCAAAAAATTGATGCCTGAGTGAAATCACTGGAAATATATACAGGTCAGGTGATTCAGGATTTAAGAGAGACAATGATAAAAAGATTTGAAAAGATTGGAGAAATTATTGCAGCTGGTGAACAGAGTAAGGAGACACAAGGACAGGATACAATGTCTCCACCAGCTATTAGAACTGGCTTACCCAGGGTTCTAGCAACATACCCTATACTTAAGTCTGACAAAGCGTCAACTTCTAAAGGCTCAAAGGGAGTCAGAGAAGCTAGATGGATGCCAATAGCAATGAATTATCTGAAAGAAATTAAGCAAGCTGTTGTTAATTTTGGCTTGCATAATGCATATGTAAAGGAAATGATAAGGACTTGGGCTTCTAATGCTAGAGCTACCCCCCATGATTTCCATCAGTTAGTGTCTGCAGTTTTAGATAATGGACCTTCCTTGATGTTTGGAATTTATTTCAGAGAAGAATCCAAACATATGGAACAGCAAGGAAGAGCAAAAGGTGTCGAGGTTTCCCAAGATCAAATTCTTGGTGCAGGAGAATATGCTGATCCACAGGTCCAAGCTCTTTATGATGATGAAGTACTGTGTCTATGTCACCAAGCAGCTTTAAATGCTTGGAATAGGATACAAGATCCAGTAAAAAGGGTTGAATCGTATACCAGAATTAGGCAGGGACAGAGAGAACCCTTTATTGACTTTTTGCAAAGATTAATTAAGGCTCTGGACATAGGGGTAACAGACCCAGAAGCTAGATGAATACTTCTTGAATCTCTAGCTTTTGAGAATGCAAACATAGAATGCAAAAAGGTAATTGGGCCTTTAAAGTCTAGATCAGCACCTATGGATGAATGGATTCAGCATACGATGAATGTTGAGACGTTTAGCTATAACGATGAATCTTGGGTAGGAGAAGCGATTTCCACAGCAATGAGGAGACATCAAACTGCCAGGTGTTTTAATTGTGGTAAATTAGGACATCTGAAAAGGGATTGCAGGCACAGAATTTCTAGGAATAATATCTCCTCTGGGAATGACAAAAATAGGAGACCTAGGCCTTCAGATATATGTAGGAGATGCGGTAAAGGCCGACATTGGTCCAACGAATGCAGGTCAACAACAGACAAACAAGGCAACCCGATACCATTGGGAAACTCCTTGAGGGGCCTCTCATAGGCCCCCAAGCCAACAGTGGCCCAGTCATTCCCAGTCACAGTGGAGAACGTGCCTCACCAAGAAAATTAAAAGCTTCAATTTCTGCTGTAAAAAGTAATACTGGTCTAAATGAAGAATTACGTGTGGAGGATGAGTCAAAAAACCCAGTAGGACAGAGTAAACGTATATTTTGGCAGACTTCTATTAATGATCAAAGACCAAAGCTAAGAGTCTGTATAAATGGCACTTTTATTGAAGGCTTATTAGACACAGGTGCGGATGTAAGTATCATTACCCCAGAATCTTGGCATCCAAATTGGCCTCTTCAAGAGGTAGATGTTCAGTTCCTGGGAATTGGAAC